CAAGTGCATTAGTTTTCTTAATCTCTTTTATAATATCTGCTATATTACGCCCATAATCCATACTGTCAGAAAAATCTAAACATTTTAGATAAATTATCAAGTTTAATTCTGGGATCCATAATAGTTGCTAAATAAAAAATAAATAGCATATTCTCAAAATATTTTTTAAACTTATGCTATGCAACCTACAAGAAAGTCATGAGTTCTATATTCTGCAAATAATTCAATAATATTATTAAGATGATAAAACACTAAATGAATAGTGGAACAACGAACTCCAGAAAGTGTTCTAGTTGCTACCTCAAACTTCTCAAGAACATGATAGAAAACTTCATAAAGATTCCACTCGCTAGATGTTATGGAAAGATGAGATAGATGTTTACATTCAATAAATGCATCAATCGCTTTTTGGTAAGTGATGGCATCACTAAGCATATTGTAAGTATAGTTCCATCTTGTCTTAACATCAATTTGAAAACTTTTCTCCTCTAGCCGTAAACGTCACAACTCTCCTTAAAGGACTATATTCTTGGACCACTACCTCTCATAAAAGTGATAAACCATTTTAGTATCTATAAATACTGATCAAGATATTTCATTCCATCCTACACACAAAGGTTAATGATATGTCAAACACATCTAATATGAAAACAAATTTACCCTTTATTATCAGATTCAAAATTTCTTTCAATTTTTAAATTGCTGATGTGTTTCCTGAAGCATTGTCAAAAGATATAGAAAAAAATTTCCTCTGTCCCATAGTCACGACAAGTTTCTGAAATTGCATCACAAACGCCTTGTGCATTATGCAGATATTCAAACCTCCTGAATGACAATTCTTTTTTGAAAAATCCAATTTTCACCAATATAATACGGAGTAACACAAATATAATGATTGCGATTAAGAGACTCCCAAACACCAGAAGTCAAAGCTATTTTGGTGGCTACAGCAGATAGAGTAGCTTACATGATAATTTTTAGCATATAAAAGACGTTCAATTTTTCTTGTAATTCTTTTGCTAATTTTTTGATATTCTGGACAAAAATAACTTTTAATATATTTTTCAGAAAAATCTTTTTCAATAATATTAAAAGGAAGCTTAGCTTGCACAATAAACTTAGCTAAGTTTTCCTTAGCGAGTTCGAGTTTATACCTGAATATCGATAACCCACCTGTACCTCTAACAATCTGTGATTAAGTTTTTTTAAATGTCGAGATAGTGTTCCTGTTCTGTAATTCTTTCCAAATTTTTAGATAATTTGGCATGCTAAACAACGTGCCGATCTGTTACTGTTTGGATCTAGAAATTTTTAAAAAAAAGCCCAAACCCATGAAGAATCTTTTGATTTTTTTCGTTTATTGGAAGCATGTTCTGTTTCAGTTACTTCTTCAATTTGTGTCTCTAGAACTTCAGTATCTGAAGAGTGAGAAGTCGGAGACGGATGTCGAGGAGGTTGGGGTGGAGGATAAGAAGAGATAGAATGTCTTGCCATCACAGAACTGGGTGGTAACGGCCCACATGATTGTTGTCATTCCATTGGAGAAAGTGAAATAGAGTGTCTAGAAGTAGAGTCTTGAGGAGCATTACTTGTGGTTACTCTAGGATATGTAAATAGAACGGTACCGTTGGGATGAACAATATACCCGCTGGGAATAGAAGGGTAGTAAGAATCGTAAGGTGCATTATACATTTGGTCATTACTACTATCACTGGCTTCATGTGAATAATGTTGAGAATGTAAAAATAGTGTATAACCACTTCCACCTGCAATGGATGGAGAAGAGGAAGAATCATGTGAGGAGGATAAGTAGGGAGAGTATAGTGAATAAGATGAGTAGGGATCCATCTGATTTTTTTTAATTTTTTCTAAGAAAACTTTGGCAAAGAGTGTATAGAATATCTTTTGTAATTAGAATGAGATATATTGATAGAAGTTATGAGATATGAGAGTGAAACAAGTCCTATTTATAACAGAGGGAAGATATTCATTGGACATACCTTTATCTTAAAAAAAATTAAAAAAGAGAGCTGTTGACTCTCTCTTTTTAACAATAAGCAGCAATGTTGTTGCTGACTGCTCAAAAGAGAGAGCCACTAGCTCTCTCTCTTTTTAGCCTTAGCAGACTAAAAAGATGCTCTTTTTAGCTTGCTAAGGCTAAAAAGAGCATCTTTTTAGCTTGCTTATCCTCTTTTTAGCTTGCTAAAAAGAGAATCCTTTTAGCCTGATCTTTAGCAGGCTAAGATCTTTTTAGCAAGCTAAAAAGAATTTTAGCAGGCTAAAAACAGAGCCTGTGACCCTGTCTCAGTATCTCTCTCTGTTTGGAAAAAAAGGAGACCGACCTCTTTTTAGGGAAAAATGACGTATCTGGCCTGATACCAGCATGTCAGACTAGGCCAAAAAACTAGATTGCCGCCAGCAGGGCAGTTGCTAGCCTGCTGGTAGCGTCGCAGCAGACTGCTGCTCTTAATTATATGGGTTATTGTTTATATTAAAAAAAAAAACTAAAAATTAAATTTTTGGGTCGGGCCGGGTTGATGGTGGATTGGGTCAAGGTGGGCCGGGCCGATTTCTCTCGTCCCAGGTTTGAAGCTGGACCCAGTTCGGCCCGTGACCTGCATATATCACAAGCCGGGTCTTGACCCATGCCGGGTTGGGCTAGGTCAGCTTGTGGGTCGATCTAGCCCGCGCCCAACCCTATATTTTCATGCTTATTTAGTTGTTCAATTATGAAAACACTGTGCAAAACTATGAGCTCTAATGACAGAGTATATATAATCAAAAAATAAAATTAATCACTGCTAGTGTAATGTTTTCTTTCTCACTAAATTGTACCTGTTGAAAAACACCCACTTCTTCCCATTGCAAGCTCTCGATCACATTCTCCTCCAACAACTCCACTAGTTCCACCTTACAATTAACTGTCACAAGTTCCTCTAGGTTACTAGTTGCATCATCCACCTCTCCAATATGCGGAAGCTTCCATATCTTTGACGAGAGATCCATACACCCTTTACCATTCCCCTGATTACCAAGACTATCAAATACAATCATCACAAGTTGATTGCCAAGTCTATATACATTGCATAGGCCAGGTTGTGTTACTGAAGTTCTGATGGCGAAACATTGTGATATGTATGTACATTAACTCTATACACTTGTTATGAAAGTTTAATCATGCTTACCAAAAAAAAAAGATCAATCAATAAAAATGTAAGAAAAATCTTTTTCCAACATAAAGACCATATATTCAAGCATCATACATGACCTTTAATTAAGTTAATGTGATAATTAATCGAAACAAACCATCTCAGATGAATACATTCTTCTTCAATAGGATGTTATTAAAGAGCAAATGCCGAGCTTGTAATTGCCATCTAGGTTAAAAGATTACAATAATTTGTGATAAGAAATGTCACTTGATCTTAAGCCGAAGGGAAAAAAAAGTGGGCCACTTTCGAAACTAATGATTTAGGGTTACAAGATACGACGAATATAGAGATTACAACAAGAGGAAGACAATGTTTTGTTTGTAATTTATCAAAGCATATATTATATACCTTATCACTCGATAAATAAAATTTCTTTGCCCAAATGCACCAATGGAGGAGATCTCCTGCCAAAGGAAAGTAGACAGGATAAGGAGAGGATGCAATCTGAGACAAAGAGGTTTTATTTTATTGGAGCGGTGGAGGGGAGCTTCGGGCGGAGGACGTTTTGGGGGCTTGGGGGTAGCGGAGATGGGCGAGGAGGCCTCTTAGGGTTATGGAAAGTTTGAGAGAGGGTTTTGAAAATTTGTGGACGGAGGTATGAGAATAAGGGGAAAATATCTTGAAAGGTGGCAGTTTTAGAAAGTTTGTGAGCCAACTCATGCCAAAACAAAAAAAATAGGTTTTTGTTGTTACTTGTGCGTCTCACTATACTAGATGAGTTTTTCATCTAGGATGCTCACATCCTAGACAGAGAAAATCAGTCTAAGATGTTCTGTCTAGGATGCAATATTTTTTACTATATTATATGAACTGGGAAGGGCCAAGTTAGGTTCTCTGTGTCTGTTGTTAATATCGCTAAAAAATTCTTTTGACACTTGCTAAGTTTATGATAGTTAATGCAAAGAAAAATATTTCATGTGTTAATTTCATTAAGACCTTAGTGGGAGTTTAAAGAGCTAAATTTCATGTTGATTCCTCTTAACCCTAAACCTTCTTAGCCCAATTTCTTCTCTCTTCCATTTCCTCTTTATTTCCCTCCTTTCTTCTTTGACAAACCCCTAAATTCTTCTTTTCTTCTCCACCCCCTTACTCCAAGTTTTCTTCTCATCATCTTCTAAAACCCCTAAGCTCTTTCTTCTCCCGTTTGGAGAGGCATGAAATACTTCCTGTGTTGCAAACTTTCTTAAGTACTCTTCACGTGAGAAATGATACGGCAGTATTTAGAACTTTCACTGGATTCAATGAGTTTAGTCAGGTTTGCCTGAAATTTGCGTTATAATATATGTTAGTGAAATAATTTCTTGTAACATCAAAAATCAAAACAATGTAAGGAATGACCTATGTGAAATAATGAAAACATCTAGCATTATAATATATCACCATGAAATTTTTGTATGTAACAGCATATTGTAGTTGTAGTTGTAAAACATAAGAGTGGCGTCCTTACAGGGATAACATAGTAGTAGACCTTGGATCGAGACATTTTGCATAAAATTAATGTTTTCACATTGTGCATTGCCGACTTCATGCTGAATATGCGTGCTATATTCCATGGAGACTCCAACTTATAATATTTTTCTTTTCATCCTCATTTTGGGTGTACTGCCTTGGACACCCCAGCTTATAAATATTTGGTTAGGTAGTAATTATCTGCTTACACTCGTCTCGTGTATTCTATTTACACTCATCTCAGTGTATTCTCTTTGATGAAGTTTATACTTTTTGCTAGGTTCCATCCAAAATAAAGTTTTTCCAAAAGAATTCAAGTGCTTTTGTTTGTTCATTCAGGTAATGTCTTTCTTAAACATGGCTCAGAACTGCGCCTGATACCTCGAGGCAGAGTTGGAGCTCAAGATGCGTCATTTTAGATTGAACAACCAGTCTACAAGCTACAAAAATCCTTTCAACTTAGCTATTCTTAGCTTTCTTGATGTTTTCCTTTGATTAACGGTGTTTGATACTTCATACTTGAATAGCTGGTGCACAGTAAAATATGTCCTCTTGTGTTTATCTTCTGTTCCTTTATAAATTGTGATACATATCAGTTCATAAACAATGTATGGAAAAATATGCTATACAACGATTAATAAAGCATTATAAATTTTTATGATCATAAATCATCGTCAACTCTTATCGCCTTCAAAGGGTTGCAGTGATTTTTTTCACTTATCGTTGTGTAAAAACTAGCAACCTTGATGACATCTAGACATAATTTTGTGGTAATTAATTTACCTATGAGATCACAGTATAGGACTTGCAGATTTATGGATTGCCAGTTGCTTATACCTGTCTATAGGGGTGCATTTGGTCTATATATGGCTCAGATATGATACTTATCATATCTATATCCGCTTACTCATTTCGGATACAGATATACCTCGGTAAGAAAAATTCATATCTGTATCATCTAATATTGGATAAAGATATGGATATACATACGGATATATAAGCGGATATGTATATAGATATAAGATGAATATGAGAAAACTAGATAACATTGAAAAAAATATAGTTCATGTGATACGAAAGAATTCATTAATATGTTCATTATATCTGAAAAGCTAAGATTAAATATCTTGATCTTCAAAATTAACCACAAATTCGTAATATGAGGACAAACCATTGTAACAATATGACTAATATGTATCAGATATTTCGGATGCGGTTCTGGATATTTCACTATAAAACTATCGTAACCATATCCTATTGGTTATAGATTTGAGTAAGTATATCCGTATCTTAGCGGATACGGTTACAGATATTTCTTCAGGTATGAATACGGTTTAGCACCCCTACTTGTCTGTCATGTGTTTTGACTGCTATCATCTTCATAAGGTCCTTCTCACTACAGTCAAACTTTAAAGTTGTGATGGGACTTGAGGGCTATAATTTTATATTTTAACATGTTATCATAGGTTCAATGTTCTTTTCATGAGAACAAATTATGTAGCAGTGTTTTCTTAAATAAGTATGCTTTACATGTTATTGGATAGCAGGTTCCTAATATGTTTCCTAATTTGTTTTGGTAACAGGTTATTGGGATTTCTAATCTGTTTTGGTAACATGATTCCAAATCTGTTTTGGTAACAGGTTATTAGGATTCCTAATATGTTTTGTTTTAGAATTCCTAGTATGTTTTTGGTTTTAGGATTTCTATATATATGGAACGATTGGAAGAGAGAATTGAGCAGCGAAAGGGATATTTGGAGCACAGAAAAGAGGTATTTTCTGAGCTATTGGTTAGAGTTTTTTTGGAGAGAATTAGAGATTTGTTGGTGAGATTAATTGGTGAGTTCGAGTGATTTGTAATCTCAGTTTGTCCTCTTCTTCTCTATTAGTGAAAACCCCATCCCCTTCTTGCCCCGTGGACGTAGGCAACTTACCGAACCACGTTAAAATTGGTTGTTTATTGAGTTTGTGCCGTTATTTTGCATTGTTTGGCATTCTCTCGGTCTTTGTTTGATTTGGTCTCTCGAAGCACATCGGTTTTGTTTTGACTTCTGTCGCGCACAACAAGTGGTATCATAGCTCGGGCTACGCTTGGACTATTTGGAGGAGTAGATCGTTTTGGAGGCTTGTCTAGGGTTTCGTTTGGTGATAAAGGTGGGATCTTTTTTGGTAAAGACTCTATCTTTTTCAATTTTGAATCAATTCTTCGTTTGTTCCGCTTTGGTTTGTTGGTGCTTTGAGAAAGATGGTCGAGAAAGAAGAAGTTGTGGAGGGTACTTTCGACGTAAAGACCGTCCAAAGTTTGAATATCCACTCTATGAAAATAGATGTGTAGAAGTTTAATGGCATAAATAATTTTGGTCTTTGAAGATGCGAAGAAGTCTTAGATGCGCTCAATGCGCAAAATTTGGAGGATACATTGAAGTTGGACGGAAAACCGGACGATATTGTGGAAAATGTTTGGAAGAAGATGAATAGAACGACGTATGGTTAGCCCTGTCCAAAAAGCTCGCTGCCCCGGGCCCAGCCGGGCTGGAACCCCGCCCGGGTCCCCTTGCTGGCGCCCGGCCCAGCCCGGAACAGTGCGCAACAAATCCAGGCCGGGCGGCCCGGACCTGGAGCCCGGCTCATCCGCAACGGTCACCCTTGTTGACCGTTGAAGGAAAAAATCCGGGCCGGCCCGGCCCAACCCGGCCGGGCCAAAACGGCCATTTTTTGCGTTTTGACCGTTTTTGCCCCTTAAAACGATCAAAAAATGGCTTTTTGGTGAGGGTTTTTTTTGTCATTTGCCTAGGAGGCTGCCTCTATAAATAGAGGGGGTTTTACTTTTTCTCCTCACACCAAAACTCATATACTTCTATCTAATACTCTCTTATACAATCTTATACTCTCTTATACTTTCTAATCCTTTCATCAAATGACTTCTGGATCTGATTATGAAGAGCAAAATCTATCTCCTACCGATATTGAAATGAGTCCTCCTACAACAACAGCTACTCCTCCTACCGATCCTATCGGTGGCGATGAATCTGCACCAAGAGCTCCTAAATGGCCGAGATTCGATGTGTGGAATTTTTTTGAGAAGATAGACGTCACCAAGGATGAACACGATAGGATCCTCACCCAGAAGGCTAAATGTGCGTTGTGCGGCCGGACTTTCCAAGCTCATCATAGAGCGGCACCAACCACCTCAAACGCCATATAGAAAAACACAACAAAAACCAGACTCATTTAGGTGATATCCGACAATCTATGATGTCCCAATGCTCCTCTTCTAGTAGTCTCGGTACTTGGAATTATGACGTTGTCCGAGCCAGGAAATACGTCATCTGGTTTATCATTCTTAAAAACCTTCTTTTTAAATTAGTAGAAGATGATGAATTTGAAGATTTGTTTAGAAATGATTTTATTCCGATTTTAAAAAAATTTCTCGTCAAACCTGTCAATGTGACATTTTAAAACATTATCAAACGGAACAAGGAAAAATAATTTCTTATTTTAAAAATTTAAACTGTAAATTTTCTTTAACTTCTGATATTTGGACATCTAGAGTACAAACAAGTTATTTATGTATCACAGCACACTAGATTGATGAAAATTGGCAAATATTTAAAAGAGTTGTTTCTTTTATTGCAATTGAAGAGTCACATACTGGTATTAATGTAGCCAATTTAATAATTGAAGAACTTATGAAACTAGAAATTGATCAAAGAATATTTTCTCTTTCACTAGATAATGCAAGTAATAACAATGCAGCTGTAGATTTTCTCAAAATAACTCTGTCATTGACTTGTCATGGTGAACTTTTTCATATTAGATGTATATGTCATATTTTAAATTTAATTGTTCAAAGTGCATTTACTGAAATTAAACCCTTGATAGAAAAGGTTAGAACAATTGCTTATATGCATACTGCTTCTAAACAAAGACTTAAAAGATGGAAACAAATGTGTAAAAGAAAAAATATTAAGGCTAGACTAATTCCTAAAGATGTTGACCATAGGTAGAATTCTACCTATGTAATGTTAAGTGTAGCTATAGAATACAAAGAAATTATAAATGATTTTATAAATTATTTTGCTTCTAGTTCTAGCTCTGGTAGCTCTTATGGAATAACTGAAGATGAATGGACAATTATATGTAATTTAAATGAGATGTTACAAGTTTTTTATGATGCTACTGCGTAATTATCTGATTGTTATTATCCAACTATTACTTTAGCTGCTTTACAAATTTTAAATATTCAAAAACTTTTTAACAAATATCGTATGAATAATACTTTTGGAAGTATAATTTTTCAAATGGATAACAAATTTAATAAGTATTTTAGGCTTATTCTTCATATTTTTGGTTTGAGGATTCTTATTGATCCATGTTTGAAGGATATTGGCCTTCGAAGTTTGTTACAATCATTGTATGATGGACATGTTATAGACTTAGATGATGGATCCAGCATTACTGTTACTTCTCATCACTTAGCTATTAGAAATTATTTTCAAAGCTTATATGATGAGTACACAGCTAGACATGGTGTAGCTGCACAACAGTCTGCAGCTTCGACGCCTTCGAGCTCAAGCCGAGGTAAAAGTGTAAGTTTTGATAGGCATGTAATGGTAGCTAAGCTAACTGGTGGGTCTGGACTTGGATCATCGTTAGAGGTTTCTAAAATAGATGAATATTTATCTGCTTCTTTAGTTAAATGTCAAGAAAATGCTTTAGATATATTTATCTGCTTCTTTAGTTAAATGTCAAGAAAATGCTTTAGATATTTTGTAATGGTGGAGAGTATATGGATCAGTTTCATATCAGAAAATGCTTTAGATATTTTGTAATGGTGGAGAGTATATGGATCAGTTTCATATCCTATACTTTCCACTATGGTTCGTGACTTACTAACAATGCAGGTTTCGACGGTAGCTTCAGAATCCGCCTTCAGCACAGCAGAACGTTTGATTGACGACCACAGGACATGCTTAGATCCGTATACTGTACAAACGGTGATGTGCTTATAAGATTGGTGGAGGTACGAGAAGCGAACGCAAGGCATCGATCGGATGGCTGGAATTGAAGATAAATTTAAAGAGTTGGGACTAGCAGATAGATTTAAAGATTAAACAATATTCATCAAATTGTAATTTTTATTCTTAGATTTAAATTTGTAATGAATTATTTTGGAAACAGTTACAAATGATAGTGATATATGTTAGTAGGTACCAACCTAGTTAGGATGTACTCATCTATTGTGATGTGACGAATTTCGAAATAAATTTATACTTATAAAAGATTTACTGATTATTAATAAAGAAGTTATTTTTATCATCTTTCATTTTTATAATTTTTTATATTTGTAATTTATGTCATTTCAAGTTATTAATAATATAATTGTTTTTATTTTTATTTTCTATAATTTTTTGTATTTTTAATGTATATTTTAAAATTTAAAGAGATTTTTAAAAATTTAAAAAATAAAAATAAAAAAACCAAAAAACCCGGCCCGGCCCGGGCCTGGGTCTGGGCTCCGGTTTTACCCAGTCCAGGCCGGTCCGGATGGACAAGCCTACGTGTGGTGTGATTAGATCTTGTTTGACTCAAGATTTAAAATATGATGTGATCAATGAGATGGTTAAGAAAATTTGAGAGATCACTGAGAGCAAGTATTTGACC